GTCTATTTGAGAGATAGGTGGCGGTAATGCACTTATAAGTCTTAGATCCGCTGTAAAGCAAGAAGAAGAAGACGGGAACGCGCCGGCTGTCGAGGACGGGCTCAGGACAGTTCAGACAGTTCAGACATTGCGGTGAAAATCAGAGGTAAAAAACGATATAAATACTGTTCAGTTTCTTGCACAGACCGATCGTTTTGTGTCTTTACACATCAATGTATCGTCACGAGCCGCAGGGTTTAATTTGGTTTTGTTTGTGTATGTTTTATGACTCTCAAAGCCATGATTCCCATCCACTTACATTATATGACTGATAGACTGCAACGGTTTGAGTTAAAAATCTCAGTTTGTGTTCTACTGAAGAAACGAAGTCACTTACATCTTGGATGTCCTTGTGGTAAGCAGATAAACATCAAATTTTCATTTTTGGGTGAACTATCCCTTTAAATGGGTCATTTCATGAATATTATACTGTAACTTTCCGAATTCAAAACGTCTGTTCTCATTTACTGAAATAAATCTACAACTGCAAAAACGGTGGATTTCAGACATACAAAATCCAACACATCACATCCCACATTTACATGTAGCCTACATGTCAACCGCGGCTATTTAATGTTCAGCTTCTTGGCTTCAACGTCATTCATACATTATTTGGCCGAAAATGTATTTTTGTTTTCAGGTGAAACCGTTTTGGTGGGTTTAAATCATTGACCAAAACGGTGACGTTTAATTAGCGCTTCTCTGATGCACGTTTTGACTGTGTCACTGTCTATTTCAAAGACACATGGTGGGTAAGCTACAAAAGGTAAACATGTCAGCTGTCTGGACAGTAGGGCTGGGTTGACAATATTGATTTCTTGTTTTTAATGGAACATTTTGATGAACCAGGATATTTTAGTCAATGCTGTTTGCAGTTGATGCATGAACAAAACTTCTCTAAACATTATTTGTATTTTCTACCATCCAATAATCACAGTGAGCATCGTGCTTTGTTACTTTTGATATAAAACAAAGTCTAGAAACATAATATGTGACCCTGGACCACAAAACCAGTCTTAAGTCGCTTGGGTATATTTGTAACAATAGCCAAAAATACATTGTATAGGTCAAAATTATTGATTTTTCTTTTATGCCAAAAATCATTAGGACATTAAAGGGGTCATATGATGCTTTTTTTAAAGATCATTATTTTGTGTATTTGGTGTAACAGAATATGTTGACATGCTTTAATGTTCAAAAAACATCCAAAGAGAAAGGAAAACTTGAAATCGCATCATATGACCCCTTTAAGAAAAAGATCATGTTCCATAAAGATATTTTGTAAATTTCCTACTTTAAATATATTAAAACTTAATTTTTGATTAGTAATATGCATTGCTAAGAACTTCATTTGGACAACTTTAAAGGCGATTTTCTCAATATTTTGCACCCTCAGATTGCAGATTTTCAAATAGATTTCCAAATATTGTCCTATCCTAACAAACCATGCATCAATGGAAAGCTTATTTATTCAGCTTTGAGATGGTGTATAAATCTCAATTTCATTAAATAGACCCTTATGACTGGTTTTGTGGTCCAGGGTCACATATGTTAATGTGCAACTCAGTTTTGATTGCTGGTTGCCAGATTTGAGTGCTGATTATTAAATAAAGATGATTAATTAAATAATTATTACATAAACGTTATTTTTGTGTCCTAACGGTGATGTGATGTATAACCTTTCTATGCAAGATCACAAGAACTTACTTTAGCGGTGGTCTGACAAATCCTTTCATTTTGGCCTTTCTCTTTCAACACTGCAGTGACCAGCGTCCTCACAGCCTAGAATTAAAAAGCCAAAAAAGCACTGATCAGGCAGAAAAGCTGGTTCTTCACATGCCTTGAGCAAACTAAACAAAAGATTTAATCAAAATTACGCATTCACAGGAATGGATTTCTTCAAGACCGACGCGTTTTGTGGGATAGATAAGCATTTCATTGAATTGCTGTGGAATTCGAACCTTGATTTACCTCTAAATGCTTAAATCATCAGTCTGTTTTTGAGTGCTTTACCTGAGCTTGAATGAGGGAGCTGGGGAACTCAACCCTGGTCTTCAAAATTTCAGTCATCTCCAGAAATCACGAATGATGCCCCATACTAAAAACAAACATCATATGGAATTGGTAATTTTTAGTCAAATTAAAAAGGCATCCCCAGCCTGTTTTACTTGCAAAAAAAAAGGCATACCTTTGATTGAAACAGATAATTCAATGACAAAAAATAAAGTACTCAATCTTAACCAAAAGGATTGGATAGGATCTTGGAACAATTGTCTCTAGATGACAGGTCGCAGGAGAGTAGGTGTTGAAAAGGTAAGAGATTTTGATAAAATTAGGAAGGATAACATTTCTTCAGAATAATTAATTCTGATAAATGGCATACAATAAAACCAGGAATGTGTACTGGCAATGTCAAAAGGTACACCACTGTAAAAATGATTTTTTCAAAGTTGTAAATGAAAAAAAAAAACAATTGGAGTAGTTTTACAAGAGAACACTATTTCAGTCTTTCAACTTGAAAATTTCATGTTTAATTGAATGTGTTACTTGCCATTTCTTTACGAGTATTTCTGAAATTTACTAGCAATTTCTGAGTGAAAACTGTTTTGACACCATTTTTATTTATTTTTTTTGGTGTACTGTTCAGAAATTTGTGCTCTATAATTTTTTTTATACATTTTTGACTAACAAGGCATTTGATCATTTCATCAAAATACAGAAAAATACATTAGGCTAATATTTTGAAATATTATTACAATTTTCAAAAACTGTTTTCTATTTAAATGCATTTTAAAATCAAGTTTATTCCTGTGATGGTAAAGTTGAATTTTTTGCAGCCATTCCTCCAGTTTTCACTGTCACATGATCCTTCAGAAGTCATTCTAATATGCTGATTTGCTATTCAAGAAACATTTCTTATTAATATCAATGTGGAAAACATTTGTGATTTTTTTGATGAATAGAAAGTTCAAAACAGCATTTATTTGAAACCGAAATCTTTTCACTGTAACATTATAAATGTCCTAACTGCCACTTCTGATCAATGCAATGTATTCTTCTTACTTTATAAAGGTATTCATTTCTTTCAAACATCTTGCTGACCCCAAACCTTTGACTTCTTACTGACATTAAGATTCAAAAGATTTGAAAAGAACAGAATTTCTCAAATGTGTAGCATGCAACCGCAAATCGAGTCATGGGAAATTTACTTCACATTTTTAGAATCAACCCTCATTTCCTGAAATGAAGAAACTGACATACAAACTGACATCATCTGTTAAAAACAGCTGTGCAGCGACCTCATGTTAACGCCTTATCATTCAGATCACAGGTGTCAAGGGATCAAACACACCAAACAGGTGCAACGGGACAAAAACCGCCTTCAGGGTGATACTGTTAGACCATAATAAGAATAACCCAACACCACTTCAAACTGATGTAATCTAAGGTGAAATTAAATAAAGGCCTGAGACATATAGCCTGCTTGCATCTAAACTCAGAAGACACAACCATCTGACAGATGGCACTGGCAACCACATCAATGGGATGCATTATTCACAAGTGACTTTTGCCAAAGCTTCAATGTCCTTCCAGTTGCGGACCGCCGACTCTGGCATCTCATATGTTGTCTCATATGGACTCCCAGTGTAGGGTAATGACATTACCAGCTGTTGATTTGACTGACACTGGCTGATGGCCACTGGAGATTCAGGTTTATACCACGGCACATGGGAGAAAGACTGACAATGCAAGCTCTAAAATGCTGCCCCACCCCTCCTGGGACTGATATCCCACAAGCAAGCGCTGCGTGTGCAATGTTCATGATGATAACCTGCTGTGTCTCCATCCAGCGTGACAGTTTTACTACAGCAGTGTTACTGACAGCAAAGAGCGGCTCGGGCAAGTCAGGTAAGATTTGAAATTCATATGACAATTTACGTCAAAACTATACAAGCCAAAATGCTACATGTTCATGTGCTACTTTAATACGAGAAAAGTGGATTTCTATGTTGTAGCAGATTGTAACTTTGCAAAAGGGTGATATTTTGGAGACAGATTTAAAATATACTGAGAAAAAGTAAGAGTTATTAGCTTAAGCTTGAGATTTATTTGCATTCAGTAATGACAGATGGTGGACAATGCATAAAGAAAATGCCATAAAACAATGCTTAGTCATGTTTGAATCAAATTTGCATCTTTTTTTACACCATTTTTGTAGGCAGAGGTTTGTGTAAACATGTTGACAAACTAGTTGTTTGTTTTACCAGATCATTTTTACACACGCTCTTGTCAGCAAAGCAGAGAACTGAAAATATTCCAGGGATTTCCAGCCTGTGGCTACTTGTCCACATGCACAAAGGCTTGGGCTCTGGACTGCTTGCTCTGCACTGCTTGTGTGTCCACAATAATGCATCATTGTTTAAGTGATGCTGAGTTTGACTGGCTAGACTAAGTTAGCTGGTATAACATGTCAGTTTTGTAAAGATTCCATGGTTCTAACACAATGGACATGCTCGACAGTAATACCATGGTTTCTGGATACGTACTAAGGTATTTCCACGTAAACACCATTTTACAAGAATAAAGTAATCATTCAACACCATGGCATCACAAGCCGATACCATAGTGATACCTCAGCATTACCTTACCCAGAGAATTCCTACATTCCAGTGACGTTTAGATGCACTTTGCTACGTTTTTCGCGAAACCCTCCTATTGGCAACATGCTTCTACGGCGCGCGTGGAGGACCAAACATACGGAAAAAGCGATACGTTAATCTAATGTCAACGTAATTATTTCTTGCCATTTTGACTGCGTACATATATCATATAATTCATGTATTTAAAGTACATTATGGCACTCTCAGATTTAACTCGAAAAGGAGTACCCTTTTAACACTTTTCTTACATTGATTGAGGTCGTTCTTTCTTTATTTATGCAAATGTATCAAATGTCATGTTAACATTTTATATAAATAATTATTTTTAAACATAAACATGGCCTGCACATATCTTACAATCAGGTGTCTAGACTTTTGTTCTATATTTTTTTTCCCAATAAATAATAAAGAAAGTATTTCTTACTTATAATAGTAGTGACTAAATGTGACTTATATTAGATATATATATATATAAGATTTATAAAAAATAAAACAATAAATGTTCTTACTATGTTTTTTACTTATAAATCAATTTTAACCATAGTTTACAGTATAACTACATGTATGACGTATAAAACATAACATCATTTTTACTGAACATTGTAAAATATTTTATATATATTTAGTGTGAAACAAGGCCAGTGTAAACCAATAGACCATATTAAAGATAATAGTCTATATTAGTCACTCACTCACATTTTATAAAAAAAAATTAACTTGCAATTAATTACAGCAACAGTAGAAACACATAAATATACAATAGGAGCACATACAATGTAGAAAATATAGGCTATGTAATAATAGTGTTAATCAGTGTTGGGGAAAGTTACTTTTAAAAGAAATGCATTACAATATTGCGTTACTCCATAAAAAAGTAACTAATTACGGTACTTAGTTACTTTTTTATGGAAAGTAAATAGGTTAATAGTGACTCTTCACTCGCTCTCGCTGCCATTGGCTCGTCTCGTGCACGCACGCGCATGCGTCTCACTTTACACCTCAGCCTTTGAAAACTCGAGAGAGCTCAATTAAAAGACCATGTCCGCCGTCGGGCGTCTACAGTCCTCGGTGTCCTTATTTAAACCAAATTCTCCATGAAATAGCATTATCCCGGGGCCCCCACAATGGCCAGTTCGGTGAGTTGGGCTTTACCTGCTATAGTATCGGTGCGATGTTTGGGATCTCCAGCGCCTCTGTTCGTTTTCGTCTGGTTTGGGAAGGCGATTAGCCGCATACGAGGCTTTTCCAGCCATATTTCCACCGGAATAGTCAAGTAACGTTACAGTAGAACTAGTGGAGTCGTGCGTTTCCAGCGTATTAGTGCATGTCTGCAAAAGTGATGCGCTTGAAAGATTTCAAACAAAAGGAGGGCATCCAAAAACAAATATTCAGCAATCTGACAGAATGCTCTGTTTGTGTCATTCATTCTGGTATGTTGAGGCTTAATAACATACCAGAAACTTAAATTATTATTTAGCTGTAGCTACATTTACATGTTCGGCTCCAGATTGGTTTTATCACGCACGCATTCAGATTGTGCCTTTTATACTAAATAATTAGCGACATGATTCTAAAGTGAACATTTGGGTGTTTTAGGGTGCCGTTCAGGTGAAACTGGAACTCGGTCATCGTGCCCAGCTCCGAAAGAAACCCACCGTGGAAGGTTTTACGCACGACTGGATGGTGGTTGTCCGCGGACCGGAGCACAGCAACATTCAGCATTTTGTGGAGAAAGTCGTATTTCATCTACACGAAAGTTTCCCGAGACCAAAAAGAGGTAGAAGAGATTTGCTATCGATTTACTATTATATCAAATTGTGAATTCTCTTGAATAGTAAGGCTGGAATGATGTGTGATCCTGAATGCACCTTGGCTACTTGATGCATGCAGATCTGGTCTACTGTTGCGCTGCAGGGACAAAAAGTGGTTGACATTTCTAAAAGAGATCTGTATTATATAATGATGTTTTTAGCACTATATCTTTTGCAGGTTTTCCTTGTGCCGCGAGTAATTGATTTCTCTTGATCTGTTATCATTGTCGACGCGCGTTAATCAGTGCGCGTCTCCTAAAAAGTTTCAAGAATAACGCGTTAGCATAATAATAACGCAATTAAATCCTTTAGTTAACTAGTATAGGGTATTCTCGGGGACATCACTGAAAGTATTTTGTACCGCGTTAGAACATCCTTGAAGTTCAGCTTTAGTTCGTAAATGTACATTTTGTTCAGAGGAAAGTGATTAAAACACGTTGGTACCGTGTCTTAATGAACATTTTGTTCGTTTGTACCTATGTGTGTATATGTTTATTTATTTAGGCTTGTTATTTGTGATAGAATATTCCAATTTTATGCATAGTCTATTGGTAGTGTCATAGTCTAATTTAATAAAAAAATAATAATTAAAAATGGTATACATAAGTAATGCTTTAGTTAAAAAAACGTGGCACATATATACACTTTCCTATATTGTGCTGTCTTTGTGAGTCCAATAGAAGTGCATGGAAAGTGTTACAACCCTCCCCATCTTGTCAGGTGTGATATTTCCGGGTTTTTAAACATGCAGATGACATGCAGCTGTTATGTCAAACATGAGAACCTGCTGATTCAGAAGATAGTTCTGTCATTTAATTTTTTACTAAACCGTTACCTCCAAATTGTTTTCCGTCCTATAAACCCCTTTACATTTTAAACAATCACCACAGGAGGGAGGTGGTCGTGTGTGATATAGATTTCAACCCCTGTAACTCATTCTGATGGTGTTACAATTCACCCTGTTACAATGTTCCCCTAGTTATTATAGTTCATATATACTATTATTAGACAACGCCAACAACAGGACAGTGAGAGAGAGGGAATGAAAGTGTCTGGTGGTTTGAAAGGAGGATTGTAGGAGTAGAGGTTGATGAAAGCCTTGGAAGGAATTAATTAAAATACTGGTTTCCTGCCCTCACCCAAAGTGTTTAAGCGGAGTTTGCTGTGATGCGATCAGTGCAGGGAAAAATGCTGAAGAAAGTCATTTGTCATTATATGCCATTTATCGCAGGCGAACATTTGCACTTTTTGAGAACAGTTGTTAGATCATCTTTGTTCCGGCCAGCTATTTTCCTTTAGCATTTTGTTAGGTACATATTTATGTCACAATAACCGTTTGTTCTATCATGGACGTCACAGAAATGTACAATTGCATGCATTCTTGCATGACAGAGCTGCAGCTAAATTGCTTTGATTCAACACTTTATTTATGTGACGCTTTCTAAGACTGTGTTTTATTACTGTGGTGGAAAATCAAACCGCAGAGATTGGAAAATTGCACAGAAGGACTTAAGTTTGTTTTGCTTCTGTGGACAGCTGAAGATGCATGACTTCAAACATATGCTAATATTTTCCTCGTTCCTTTGCGTTACAGCGCTCGTACTATGTGTGCTGCCACAGGTTTGATTTATGCCACATATAGTTGTTGTGTTTATGTAAGATCTGAAGGGGATGTGTGCTTCAAATCGGTTCTCCAATGCGTGTGATGACAGTGTGGTGAAAATCTCCCCTGCTGTATTTATTTTCTCAAAACATTAAAACAGACTATAAATCAAGGGCCGGACCTCATTTGGAAGCTACTCGAAACTTGCTCCTGAAGGTCTTCGATGACAAGATGTACACTAAATGTAGGTTTGCTTGAACTTCTAGCCCCTCTCTCCTTTTCTTTGACAAATGTCTTGCAGGGGCTGCTGAAAAAAAAAAAGGCAAAATCAGCAGGGGGATACTTAACCTCTAATAAATCCTACCTTATGACACCAGCTTTTAGGAGATCCTACCAAACACCCCCTTGGGTGCGCACCCTAAAATGTTTTTGCGCTGTGATGAATTAGTAGTCGAAGCACTTCCTAAGGTCTCCAGCTTTTTTCATGTTTATAATGGATCCAACAAAGTGTTTGCTTCAGGATGAACTATAGGAAGAGGGTTTAAATCACTTGAGTTAATGTAGCTAGATGTGCATACTTTATAGTAATGACACGTGGAATAGGATTTCCTTAGAATTTTTGACCTCTAGCATTACTTCTCTTACATTTTAGTCCTAATTAGACCCAGAATAAGTCAAATCAAACGGTGAAGAATAAACACTTTGAATATTTACATTTTCTTCAATGCCGTGAAAAATAGACTACTAAACACCCCATGTGGCCTTCTGCGTACTCAGCAGATAATTCACAACAGGGCTGTCTCTCTCTCCTTGGAGGGGTTGGATATAGAAACCTGCTTTCTTAGACCTAGAATATATGGTGCGCTTGTAAGGTAAACAGTCAGGCTTATTATTTGGGATCCCGGGAGGCTACACCACCCCCTTCTCCCCTGCCTCTCCCTCCTCAGGGCTTTGATCAGTGTTAGCCGGTGTCGAGACGAGCCGAGGGGCAGTTAGAGGGAAACCTTGTGCACAGACGGGCTTGTGTTTGACAGTTTAATACCAACAGTCTCGCTATACTGACCCGAAAGGAACAGCTGCTCACACACTCATTGAGTTCTCCAAAACTCTTTACTCTAGACGGTGTGTTCTGTGGCTGTGAGTCCCTTTTCTCTCTCCTTGTTTTGTGTTTGAAGCCTTAGGAGTATTCGATGTTACCCCTTTCACAGCTGTTGTAGATTACATGTTGCCTCCCTGTCTCTCACGGGGTTATCTGCTTCCTTGTGCCTTTCTCATAGTTACACAGAATGTCATTTGATAAAAAAGGGGGGATTTGCCATCCTAGATGCAGGATACTAGATGCCTTGTGTTAAAAAGTTAGCCTACTTCACCAAGAAATAAATTGTCATTTTTCATTCACCCTCATATATTTCCAGACCAGTATATATATTCTTTGTGTGAAGAAAGTCATAGAAGTGTGAAATGACACAAAGGTGAGTAAATGATGACAGAATTGTAATTTTTGGGTAAACTATTGCTTTTAAGGATTTTTGATCAGCTCTCATGGGCATGGAATGTGATGTTTCCCAGTTTCAGAAATCATGGCTACCTGGACATTAAACAAAGGTGGAAAGTGTTTTTTGGTTGAGATTAAGGGACCGAACAGCCATGATTAACAGGCATGCTGTGTAGCCTTGGAAACCTGATATTTTTTTGCTGGCGCAGGAATAGGGGGGCAACAAACCCAAATAAATAGAGTGGAACATGGGTGTTCATTTCACCTGCACCCATCTATGCCAGTTATACACTGAAAAATATATAAATGTCTGGCTTTTGGTTCATGACAAGTCACTACCCACTATTTTGCAGTGGAAACGTTGTCGTTTCTAGTCTTTTAGCCAGCCACACAAACATCCCAAGTCAATTAGGCGTCCCATTCAGATATATACCAAGGGAAATGTCTGTCCACACTAGGTGATGAGGGTCCAGAGAATGTGTGTGTGTGGTGTATTTTTGTATTTACCGAATTTATTTAGCCTTTTTATTGCTGAGGGTATGAAAGAGGGAATGATAAAACAAGATTGTATCATTACATCGGTGGATTGTGTCAGTATGTCTCTGACTTTGCTAGACTTGACAGTACGCTTGAGCCCAATTGCTGGAAGAGCTTAAAATAACATCATCCTTCTTCTATTCTACTGCAGCTGCCCCACACAGCTTTATCTTTGCTCTCTGGTGATATATATTATGGAGAAAAAACAGTTCTTCAATCTTTGTGATGTAAACACAAGAGGTGGCTTTCTTACCCAGATGGGAGCAAAGAAAAGACTAAAAATTTAGTCTTTTTTTAGGGGAAGAATCATTATTTTAAGGTTTGTAAAGGACGTACCTCTGGTAATTCAACTATCATAGAAACAAACAGGTAGTGCTTGCCTGTGGAAAAACTAGCTACTGTGATACAAGAATTGGCCTGAAAACCTGCCCAGTATTTGTCCTTTTCTATTGATTAGGTGTTCAGAGTGGTTTTTAGGGTGTTGCTAGATGCTAGTAAATGGTGCAACAGTGTCTGCCCACTTTTTCAACTGCTTTGGCTACAAGACTGTGTTATTAACAGCTTTAATGAGGGAAAGAACTGCAATCCCATGAAGCATTGCAACTGACCTAATCAAAAATAAAACCAGTGGATAAATATAAGAATATTGATTTAAAGAGTTGATTTTAATTTTATAGTGCTTCATGGTAATTGGTGGGCAACAAAGAGCTCTTTTAGCGCTATTTGCTTGTTTTGATTCTCTGATTGGTAAATATTTCTTTCCAAAATCATGGGTAATGTAGTTTTTCTCCAGGGATTTCACTGTTAAACATGATTATTTTAAAAAATATGTAGAAAGAGTGCAGACTGACCGCTTCAACAAAAGCATTAACCAGTTAAAAACCTCATAGCTCAAAGTAGGTCTTTTAAGGTTTATAGGTTATCGTTAAAAAAAAAAAAATTCCTCATATGGAAAAAAATGAATGGAATTTTCTGTTGCAGTCCATATGGAAATTCTAGTCCATATATTTGTTAACTCCAGAGCATGCTCTTTAGCTGGACCTTCATGAAATATTCAATTTAATTATTATCAGATTTTATTCCTGATTTGAAATGTTATTGAAAGGGGCTTGAAGTGACTTTGCCCATATCTAAATAGCCTAACCGTATCTCTGACTTCTGTACGAATACAAAACAAGACCATACTGGTTGTTTATTTCCACACAGTTACAGAGATTTGCACCTAGAGACTTCATGCTTCAAAAAGGACTCACAAAGCATCACAAAAATATCCTTCATGTGAGGAACGGCATTTGAAATTTAATTCATTATTCACTGAAAATCTTCATCCC